GATATCCACTCTTATAAGCAATGCATTAAAGTGCCATTTCCCCAAATCTTTGGATTACATGTTACAAAAGGTTTTAGAGGTTTTGCCAATCAGATAAAAGTGGTTTCCCTTAATTTACATTTCCATTCTACTAATGAAGTTGAACATAATTTAATGCTTACTACCCATCCATAATTTTTTGAGTTTCCATTCACTTCACGCAGGTAAAAGACCCCTAGAACGCCATGTTCTTGCCCTTGATGGGCACTCTCGTGGATTGTGCATTGTGGACTGATATGTGCCTTGGACTGTGCACCATGGACCATGCAGCAGCTAGTGGTTGCTTGGTCATTCTGAAATGTTCTCATTTCTGAATCATACCTATCTCTTCTCTTTTCTAGATTCCAGCTCTCTTTTCTTACTTACCTATGAAGATAATCCCCACCCAAAAGATTATTCAAATACTCTACTGAATTTTGTAATTTTTATAATTAAAAACTTAGAGATTTAGTCCTTCTGAAGTTTATGTTCACTAATAGTGGAGAGGAAGAAGATTCTTGCCTCCAGAAATAGCACCAGCTATTAAATAAATAAACCCTTCCTCCCTCACACCCTCAAATCACGTGTGGGCCCCTTCTCTCTATGACTAGGTTGACTGTTCTGCATACTTGTGCCCTTCTGTTCCTACTGCGAAGCGCCAGCGAGCAGGTTTGACACCTCAAATGCCAGCCCTTTATCTCTGGCTGTCTTTTTAAAAAATTTATTGGCCACTCTTAGCATTTTTCTCCTTCTAATGAGTCATTACTTCCAATCCTGGGTTTAAGAAAAAAATCAGCCCCTTGAATTCAAACTTAACTACATTATATTCACATATTAATTTGGATTAATCTGCCTATTTCGTAGTATGTATTAAGAATTTCCATTTAGGAAATTGGTATGTTTCTTCATATATTAGGGTCTTGGTTATTTCTTTCAAATAGATTTTGTGATCTTAATATAGGTTCTGTGTCTTTCTTGCTAAACGTAATAATAAGCACTTGATATAGTTTTTTATTTTTTGAGATAGTTTTACTATGTCACCCTCGGTAGAGTGCCATGGCATCACAGCTCATAGCAACCTCAAACTCTTGGGGTTAAGCAATTCTCTTGCCTCAGCCTCCCAAGTAGCTGGGACTACAGAC